GGACCGAGGCACAGAGGTGTTGATAAGCATCACAGCCCGGTGGTTCGGCAGGCACAGAGTGCTTTTAGCCGACCTGAGCAGATGTCCCCTGTGCTGGGGTACACTTCACCGTCGGTCCTTCTGGAGATTGGTTAACCTTGTTAAACATTAGTAGCTTTGTGTATCGCAGAATCACCGAATCAGTTCGGTTGGAAAATACCCCTGAGATCATCGAGTCCAACCTGTGGCCAAACACCACCATGTGAACCAGACCATGCACTAAGTGCCATGTCCACTCTTCCCTTAAACACCTCCAGGGCTAGTGACTCCACCACCCCCCTGGGCAGCCCATTCCAATATCTGATCACCCTGAAGAAATTACTCTCAATGCCCAGCCTGAAGAACCCCTGGTGCAGCTTAAGACTATGTCCTCTTGTCCTGTCACCCTCTGCCCTGGAGAAGAATGTAGGTTGTAAGCTGCTTGTGTTGGTACCTGGAACAAGCTTTGCTGAACAGCCAGAACACAGAGGTAATGATGGTGCCTGGGAGGTTTTCTGCCCGTGGTGCCTGGGAGGTTTTCTGCCCATGTCGTGTACAGCACATGCAAAGATGCACAGTGGAGACCTGCACAAACAAGGTAAAGAAACCACAGTGCCAGAGATTGCTGTCAGCTTTTAGAAGGGAAGCTGTGCTATGCAGGCACTTGGGCCTCACTTCCCTTGATTATTCTCAAAGAGCATCAGTTTGTTGCCTGTCAGTTGCCTGGCTTAGGGTAAGAGTGGTTGATTATGGCAAACTTATTAAGTTTTAACAATAATGTTGTCATCTTAGATGACGAGTGGAGAGAACTATTTACAAGAGCATGTAGTGACAGGACAAGGGACAATAGTTTCAAGCTGAGAGAGAAGATTTAGATTAGATATTAGGAAGAAATTCTTTACTGTGAGGGTGGTGAAGAATGGCACAGGTTGCCCAGAGTAGTTGTGGCTGCCCCATCCCTGGAAGTGTTCAAGGCCAGGTTGGATGGGGCTTTGAGCAACCTGATCCAGTGGGAAGTGTTCCTGCACATAGCAGGAGTGTCAGAACTAGATGATCTTTAATGTCCCTTCCAACCCAAACCATTCTATGATTCTATGATCAATATATTTGTTTCTAAGAAAATGACAAATGTCCATCAGGTCAGACCAGTGGCTCATCTAGATGAGAGCTGGTGAATTTCCTTTAAGGATGACAGCTTATGAACCAACATATACAAGATGCAGAAGCTCAAGCACCACAGAGGCTATGAGCAGCATAAATGCTCCTGCAAATGACATGTTTGAGCTTCATGTTGCAAGAACATTCCATCTGGCTCGGTAATGATAGTGCCAGGCTATCAATTCGCAGGAGATAATTTCCATTATCAATTGGAGTTGATTTTCATTGACTTAGCATCACAAAATAACATTTGCTGCTGCCTGAAAAGCAGCAAAATACACTGTACAGGAGGGCATTTGGGCTGTTACCAAACATACCTGCTCTAAATGCTGAGAGTTCTTTCCTAATTCAGATGGAAAACTGGCTGATTTTTAAGGAGATATTTAAGGTTATTCAAAACAAAAGGTCAGATAGTGAACAAAGAAACAATGACAAGGCAGGGAACCAAGCTAACAGTAATCCCGGTGAATCAACCACTCCTAAAACCCCCAACAACTGGATGAACGACTAAGCCATTTGTCCCTGTTGCAAAACCCACTGAAGTGGATTCAAGGGAGGAAACTCTCTGGAATGTATGCAAACGAAGGGGAGCTACTGCAATAGGACTAGGAGGAAATACGGTAATAAAGAGGCTTTAGGACTTACTGGGGGGTGCTTGGAGGCTGGGAGTGTTGTTGGAATCGATAAAGAGAATTTGAGGATTTACAAATCTACACTGGTGAGCTTGGGGTAAAAATCACAGGCAGGGAAGTGGAGGGATCAAGGTGGATCAAATGGAGAGAACATAGGGGTAAACAAAACCAGTCAAATGCAATCAGTATGTTTGCCCAAGTTTTGAATCTGATCACCACAGCCTGTACTATATTTGTAATAAATTATTTAAATTATTTCCTGTGCGATTGTGCTCTCTGTTGTGTGCATGTGGTCTGTCTAGTCAGCAAGTAGGATGAAAGGTTTGTACGGTCACCGAGGCTCATGTTGCAAATTGTGAGACTGGCTTAGAGGGTCTGGCTGGAAACCTGTCAGATTCTTTGCCTAAAAATGAAGCATTTCACAGATAACTCACGTTTTAGATGCAGATCTTCTCAGCTCTGGGTTCTGCAGGAAGAAGCAGCCCATTTTCATCCCAATTACCTTTTTTTTTTTTTTTTTGGTTCCGATCCATTTTTGAAAAGGAATTTTTTGTCTGGAGAAATGGCATCTTGCAGAGCAAGCCACGGAGCGATGGTGACACTCAGTGGCCCTGGAGGAAAAGTGCACCTTCTGAGTTCACAGAGTTTTTTTCCAGTTTATCAGGAAGACAGTGGTAGCTAATGAACCTTATATACAGGTGATCGAACAGCACTTAGCAAAACGATGAACCTGCATACTGTGCCATATGGATTCATATAGTACAGGCATATAAATGAACATCTAGCCTGCTGTCTGAGATGCTAGTTAC